CCCTGCCCTGCCCTCCTCCTCACCCTGCCCGGCCCTACCCTGCAGCACCACGGCCTGCGCCATGCCCGGGCCTCTCCTCCCCGGAACCCGCACGGGAAGCACCAAGCAGGCCCTGCCCGCCCTCGGGGCGGGACAAACACCTCCCGACCCCGCCGGGACCCGCCCCGGACGGCGGTTCCTCCCCTCCGCAGCAGGGACCCCCTCCCCGCAGCCCCTCAGGGACCCCCGGGGCCGGGGAGGCCCCGAGATGGGGCCGGGGCAGCGCTGGGACGGGCCTGCTCCTGAGGTTCTTCAAGCTCCGCTTCATGTTTCTTGGCCCAAGCGGGTTGTTTTTTTTCACAGCGCAATCAGGAGCTGCTTTTCACGGGATCACAGGATCCCAGGGGTTGGGAGGGACCTGGAAAGCTCCCCCAGCCCAGCCCCCCTGCCAGAGCAGGGGCACCCAGAGCACATCACACAGGAACGTGGCCAGGGGGGTTGGAATGTCTCCAGAGAAGGAGACTCCACAGCCTCTCTGGGCAGCCTGGCCCAGGGCTCTGGCACTCTCACAGCAAAGAAGTTCTTCCTGAGATTCACATGGACCCTCCTGTGCTCCAGTTTGCACCCACTGCCCCTTGTCCTGTCACTGGACATCACTGCACAAAGCCTGGCTCTGCCCTCCTGACACTGCCCTGAACAGATTTGTGCCCATGGATGAGGTGCCCCCTCAGTCTCCTCTTCTCCAAGCCCAACAGACCCAGCTCCCTCAGCCTTTCCTCAGCAGGGAGATGTTCCCCTCCCTCCAGCATCTCTGTGGCTCTGCCCTGGGCTCTTTCCAGCAGTTCCCTGTCCTTCTGGAACTGAGGGGCCCAGAACTGGACACAATATTCCAGATGCGGCCTCACCAAGGCAGAATAGAGGGGGAGGAGAACCTCCCTTGACCTACTAACCACCCCCTTTCTAATGCACCCCAGGAGGCCATTGGCCTTCTTGGCCACAAGGGCACATTGCTGGCTCATGCTCATCCTCCTGTCCACCAGGACCCCCAGGTCCCTTTCTCCTACCCTGCTCTCCAGCAGGTCAGCCCCCAGCCTGTACTGGTACGTGGTGGTTTTGCCTGTGTGTCAGACAGAGCATCTGTGGGACTGAAGATGAGAGGCAAGAAATCTGGAGATGGAAGATAAAAGAGGCCAGAAACACAGAGATGGAAGGTAAAAGAGGCAAGAAACACAGAGATGCAAGGTAAAAGAGGCCAGAAACACAGAGATGCAAGGTAAAAGAGGCAAGAAATCTGGAGATGCAAGGTAAAAGTAGTCCACAGCATGGCTGCACCACACAGTCGTGTAAAGGATTCTGACACACAAGGCACTCTCTTGCAGAAAGCTCTCTGGGGACACAGATGGCATTCCTACTTGCTGTGAGAGAGCAAAAGTATTTCCACAAACCCCAGTTCATTGGGTTTTATGGGTAAAACTACCCGAGAAAACAGGCTTTTGCCAAAAATATCATGTCTGGTGCTGGTGTGCAAGCAGGATCTGCTAAATGAAAATAGAAAGCTGAAGTTCAGTGTATCTTAATCATCCCACTGGGCATGGCCTAAAATCCAGTGGAGATCAATGACAAGTCCCCAGGAAAATAAAGTGATCCCAAAGGACTGTTTAAAAAAACCACAAAGTTTCCTGGAAAGATGAGTGATGTATTGCAGCAAATACAATATTGTATGATACAACATAATAATGCATTATATATAATAAATAAAATACATATGTATGAGAAATCTCAAGACTTATTTTTTTAAAACTTAATTGGAAGAGTAGAATCCATCTACTGGAAATTTGTTTTGCTCTTAAGAAAATGTAACAGGTGCCCCAAGCTTCCTCAAGCTTCGTGTTTGAAGTTGCAAAGGACCCACAGCTTCAGTGTTACAGGCAGGTGGGAAGTCTGGCAGGAATCACAGGATCACAGAATGACCTTGGTTGGTAAAGACATTGAAGATCACCCAGCCCAACCATCAAGAATAGGTTCTGAGAGTTCACAGCTCATCTATCTTCAAAAAAAACCTGTTGGTTTCGATTCAGTTATTTTAAAATAAGCTTTAAAATAAGTTCATATTTTGTGTTACTTTTTTTCTAGGAATTTTTGTGGGGAAAAAGCAACCAGCCCTGGCATAGAAGACAATGTCTGTACAGAATCTGATTGCTGTCTACAATACCTCAGTAATTGCTGATGAGCAGTAATAAGGCTCCCATGCCTCAGCTTCTGTCTGTTCCACTCCAGCACCCACCTATTAAGTTATAACTTCTATTTACAGCTTTGCTTGATGTGCTGTTCTATTAGTACAGCTGGAAACTGAGCCAAGGGGGGAAAAAAAAAAGTGTCCCTAATGGGCACTATTATTGCCAGGGCTGGGTGATTTTTTATGCTGCTCAAGGGTTGTTTTGTCATCACTTCCCTGTGCGTGAGAGAGCTCCAGGAGGGTTTGGTTTCTGACACAGTGCCCTCCAGAAGTCAGACACTGAACAACACCTTACAAGTCCCTTGGAGCACCAATGAAAAACACACATAGAAATTGTTTAAGTGTTATGGACCCCTTCAATAATCTTCTGTATATTTTCTGCTCAGGAGCTTAACACTTCAGAGCAATTTTTAAAAAATACTCTAATTAGTGATGCACCAGGGTCTTTCCATTTTACTCAACACATAAAGATTGAGAAAAAAACCAATCAGACAAAAGTAACAGTTTCTCATTTTGGGGTGACCAAAAATCTGGGTTCCTCTGTTTCCACAACCTGTCCTTTCTCTCACTCCTAGGAGGCTGCCCTCTCAGTTACCTGAGTTCAGCCTCAAGGCCTGGACATTTCTGACACTGCTACAGCCAACCACACACACCACTTCACTGTATGAACATCAATAAACTGGTATCATCAAAACCACCACGGACCTGCTTAACTTCTTTGCTCAAGCATTGGAAGAGCTATTTGCATCTTTTAGACTCAAACTTAAACTAGAAAAAGCAGAGAGGAAAGGCAGAGGTACAGTTACCTCAGACAATACAAACACCACCCCACCCATCTAGGACAGGTACCCTCACAAAACATGAGCTCTCTGCACACACAGCACAATGCTGCCTCTGACTCCCAGTTTATAAACTAGTCTCCTAAATTTACATTAATATGAATCAGGAAAGCAGGTAGTAATTTCTTACCTCTCTCTGGACAGACTAGTTGCAGCCTGTAGCTGAGTTGTGTTCCCTGTGGTTACCTGCCCTGGTCTGGACCTGCAGGCTGTGGTCTGTTGTAGCTGCTGGATCTGAAAGGGTTTCCAAACCTCTTTGCCCACTGCCCTGTCCTTGAGGCTTTCCCCTTGCCTGTCCTTTTGGCCTCACTTAGGCTAAAAGCAGCACAACGTTGCTTGTACACCTTCTAAACCTTAAAGTCTACAGAAATCTCCTGGTGTTAGTGTATCTGGCTTGCTGTCCTCTTGTGTAGTTAGCTACACTAAGTGCTGTCAGCTGCACTTGCTACCTGTTCTTTCAGTTTGTTTCTGTGTCCTGTGTCCTCTCAAGATGCAGCTTAATGGGATTTGCTTCGTTGAACATGAAGTTTCAGCAAGAAACCTTGTGCTTCGGCTTCCAAAGTGCTGTTAAGAGGTTGGTGCTGGCCAGTGCAAAGTGATTGTTCTGACTGAGCTTGGAAACACTGGGAATCAGAGGAGCAATTGAGATCCGTATTCATGTGGGAATATTTTTTAGCTCCCAGAGGAGGTCCAAGGGCAGGAAGTGGGTGTGTAATGAAGACCTGGTCTGGTGCACGTGCTCAGAGAGTTAATGAAGCAGCTCAACTATGTGAAAGGAATAATCACCCACTGACTTTCTCCATTGTGGTACCATAGTATAAATGCATTTATCCAGTCAGGTTCCCTCAGAGACTCTCTATGTTAATCTTTCAGTCATCAGGCTTCTGCTAATGTGTGTTTCTTACCCTTATCTTCTCAGTACCTTTCTGTTCTTGATGCTGCACAGTAATAGCTTTCCTCATTAATTGAGTCATTGAATTGTAGGGATAACTCACAATGTTATTGAAAGGAAATGAGTTGACATGAGCACTGTGAGTCTGTGACTAACCCTTCCATCCCAGCCATAACAAGAGCCAAATGGGCAGCACGAGTGCAAATGTGTGTGCTGTGCTTCCAGCAGCCTGTCTGTGACAGTCACTGGCCTCTTCAGCTCACAGCTGCTGCAGGGAGAGTACGTTGGGACCTGAACTCATGATGGCCCTTCATGTATATCAGAGCTCAGGTCATAGTTTATTTTGTTGTATTTTTAAAAAAATATTAGTATTATTTATTTATTTATTATTAGTTAGAATGGTTGGCTTTTGGGAAATTACTGTCAGACCTGTAACCCCTCATCTTTTGCTTTCCTTTTCATGCTGATGTCCAAACCCTTGATCCCTGAGAGGAAGGAAAGGTTGATAAAAGCCTTTAACTATGGGAGATCTCGACAGACCTTCAGAAATAAGACACAGAGGGGCCAGGAATCTCCTAATTAAATACTCTATTTTGAAGCAATTTCTTGAGTGTTTCAGCTTGAAAGTGGATTCTTTCCTACATAGCCACACGAATGTCAAATTTCAGAATATTCCATGATACAACAACAGTGCAGTTGTACCTGATTTAGAGAATGGCTCTAAGGACACTTATTAAAACCCTGCAGGTGGCAGGGAAAGTTACAATCTCCTCAGGGTCAGTGCTCATTTTTTTGGTAGGCTTTCTGCAGGACTGAGATAGTCACATTCATATTGGAAATGCAAAAGGGTAATCTGACTGTGTACCTCAGAACTTGGAGGTTTCTTCCCAAATCTTTGTGGACGAATCATTTTGTACTTTGGAGCGATACATTTTTAAGAGAGAAAGAGAAGAGAGCTTGCATTCTGGGAAGAAAACTGCTTAGGCAGTTGCTTTCTCTTAATCACCTGGAGCTTTGAAATGAGTGCAGAGGTGTGTGTAATGTCATGCATCCCATGCAGACCTTCCTTGGTGCATATGGAATGTTAATTTGAAGCTCTGTGTTGGAGACAGGGAAATTTGCATTATTATCTTTCTCCTGAGTCTGCAAGTATCCTCTGGTTTCTCGTATTTTTCTTTGGAAACCCTGTTCTGCAGAGTGAAAACCTGCATCTCTGAGGCCAAGGAATGAAAACTGAGGAAGATCTCCTCCACAAATATTGCTGGGTTTGATCAGCTGGTGATACAGTAAAGAAAAGTAAATGGAATGGTAGCAGTTTATGAATTTTAATGTGTTGTGTTTTTTTTTAAATTCTCATACTATTTAACTTCATTTCTAGTTTTCCATATATAAAATATGCAGAGGACTGATTAATCAGAAAAGCCATTCTTAAATGTAAATTGGTTGAACAAAACCAAACCTCATTGCAGCAAATACGGAGAAGAAAAATACTGTTTATTCACAGAGCTGGGATGTGAATATGAGAAAATATGCTTTGGTTTGAAGTAAGGTGGAAAAACATTCTGATGATGAGTGTACCAGTTAATGTGCAAAGCTCCACTGAATACCAGCATTCACTAAGCTGTGGTGTTCCTGGGAGGCACCAGCACGTGCTATTCCTGGCTATCTCTGCTTAGCAGCTGCAGACAACCTGGGAGGGAATGTCAGTTAATCCTTGTCAGGAGCCCATCTAAGCAGGGAATCTGCTGTTCTGTTCTCTGCAGCAGCAGCATCCTGGAGCTCAGGGCCTGAGGAAACAGCTCGGGTTGTGGTGTCATGTTCTTTAGAGCTTGTAGTGAGAGGACAAGGGGGAATGGATGAAAACTGGAGGAGGGAGATTGAGGTGAGACATGAGGAGGGAATTGTGGAGTGTGAGGGTGGTGAGAGCCTGGCCCAGGTTGCCCAGGGAAGCTGTGGCTGCCCCATCCCTGGCAGTGTTGAAGGGCAGGTTGGATGGGGCTTGGAGCAGCCTGGGCTGGTGGGAGGTGTCCCTGCCCATGCAGGGGGGTGGGACTGGATCGTTAAGGTCCCTTCCAACCCAAACCAGTCTGTGATTCTGTATGGTTCTGTTGGACTGAGCCAATCCAACAGCTTGCTGCCTCTGGAAGGAGAGAGGTTTCCTTTTTCACCCCTGCTCCCAGCTGCACTGCCTTGACACCTGGCACAGCCTCTGGTACCCACTGGTCTGAGGACAATCCCCCTCCACCTCAATAACAAAACATTCCCACACTGAAAGCTGTACGTGTTTGCTGTTCAGTGCCTGGGTATCAGCTGGGAGCAGGGAAGAGCTGGGCAGGCATCCTGGTTTTGTTCTCTGAGACACAGGTGGCATTTGAAGGCAGCTGGATTTGGAGCCCCATGGTGTGGTTGCTTCAAAGAGGCTGCAGAGGGGTCCTCAGACTGCCTGCTCCTGAGGGGTGGGCAGGGGGCTGTGGAGTGATGGGCAGAGGGGTCTGTACCCCTTCCCTGAGCTTGGGAAGCACAGCAGTCTCGGGAGCTGCAGGGAACAGAATGGGAGCTGTGTCCAGGAGAAGGCAGTTAGAGCAGGCGTGGGGCTGACAACATGAGCAGGGCTGGCAGGGCTGGGGGCAGGAGGGGCAGGGGCTGATGGAGCCACACTGTCTTCTCTACTTCCCACCCAACTCTGGTCTCTAGAGAAAAGTGGGGAGGCAGTGGTGGGATTCCAGCTTTTGGATCCCAGCTTTTTTATGCCAGTCTGTCCAGAGCTTGCTGTGCTTCATCCAGAGTAGGCCAAGACCACTTCACTCTGTCAAACCCCTTTTCCTACTGGGAGAGTAGGATGGAAGTTACTGCTCAGTGCTTGCACATGTGTCTTATTCTGGTGGTTCCCCTACCTGTCCATTGATTCAATATCTTTGGATTCTAATTGTCACTTGTGTGTTTTCCAGATGAGCTGCTATTAATTTTCAGTCTGTGAGGTGTTGCCCTTCATTTTCACCTTTCACACTTTACTGCTTTGCAGCTGGTCATGTTTTGGATGGGTTCCAACAACAATAATTTGCCCAGCAGTCATACATTTTCCTGTCAACAGTAGTTTATTCTTTAAAGAAAACAAACTTAAATGGCTTTGGTGCCTTGTAGGTTGTCACTGAAGAGGCTGAGTTTTGCCAGTGTCTTGTGTCTGTGGGATCTTCAAGCCTGCTGGATCAAAAGCCCAGTATCATCTTCCATCTGCCTTCTAGGGTTTGAACACAGCTCATACCTGCAGCCCTTTGCCTTATGTTTGCACCTTCCTGTTCCACTCCCAGTTCCTCTTCCAGGATACATTCCACAGGAACATGTTCCCAGTTTGATGGTTACAGCTTCAAACTGGAGTCCTGCAGCAGCCTCACAAGGCAGTGCTAATCTTATGTGATGTGCCTGAAACTGTGACTACAATTCTGTTTCATGGTCACTTGGGTTGTACTGGAGTTCACAACGAGGTGATGGATTTAGTGCTGTGTCTCTGTGCAAGTGCATTTAAAATTTAGAGGAAAAACCTGACATTTTGAATTTTGCTTCTCCTCTCCCTTCCTAGGTGAGACGAGTATTGCTGTGAAGTTCCTCAGTTTAGGTAGATGGTTGGTTATAGAAAGTGTCTGGTTTAAAAGATACATGTCCTGTCTTCACTTTGTGCTAGAACATGCCCAGGAAGTCTAGAAGAGGAGTAACATTTTCAGTTTGTCACTGTTGGAAAGCCTACATAGTTGGTGTGCTCTCTGCCTCTCATTCTAAGTGAGGAATATGTACAGGAGTTGAATGGAAACTGAAAAACAAATCCCTCTGAGCACAGTTATTTGCAATATTATCCAGCTTTATTCTGACGTGTGCATTAGCAGATCTTTTCCTGTGAAACAAAGGGTGGCCTAGAGTATGGAATGAAATGATGGGAAGGATCTCTCCTGAAAGTAACACATCTAGTGGAGGTTTTGTTTCTTCCCTAACCCCGCATGCTGGTGTGACAGGCTGGCCGCAGATACACTGTAAGAAATGGTGAAGCTCACTCTTGTGGCATAGTAAGAGAAGTGCAGAAGCAACAGCCCTTTATTCTTCAGTGATTTTTGTTTGCACATGAGGACTAGAAGTGACCCTTAAACACACTGCTTTCTGTAGATGAATCCTTCATCTTTTCATCCTTCTTCTCTTGATGAACCTGGTTTCTTTTGTCCCGTTTTTCTTTCTGTGGTCCAAGGAGCTGCACAGGGTTGATGCAGGCCCTGTCAGGCTGCTGGGCAGGTGTTGATGCTTACAGCACCACTAACCAAAGCTGCTTTGCTAAAACTCACTGGCTTCTCATCAATCATGAAGTTGCGGATGCAGCCGATGAAGGAGCTGCGTGTGGTCAGGCTGGATGTCAGCAGGGACTCTGGAAGGAGCAGATTGAACAAAAAATAATTGACAAGTTAGAGCTCATGATGACCAAAATAACAATTTTGGTGGCAGAATCTGTAACAGATGGTGAATCCCCTCCCTTAGAGCTCAGAGGTCAGTTCTGAGGACCATGCTGTAGTACCTCCTGAACATCCACACACTCCACCAACATAACTGGCCAGTCCAACTGGTACAGAAAGATTTAGCAAAACACTGGAGCATTGGAAGAGTCAGAGTATAGGGAAGGTATTTCTGTTGCACTGAAAAGCCTGCAGGGAGTAAAGAGAAGCTGGTGTCTCCAGGCTAGTCTGTGTGTACAACAAGAACCTGCCACACGTTTCTCTTCCTTGGCAATTTGCTACTGACTGCAGGTCTGCTGAGTGTTCTGTGGGTCTGGTACAGCATCTGCTCCCCTGCCATGTCCTGGAGACTGTGACAGTGCGTGTGGGCAGTTCTCTACATCTGTGTCAAACTCTTGATGCTGCACAGTCAGTAGAAGCACAATTAAACTCTTCTTGATGCTGCACAGTCAGTAGAAGCACAATCTTGCATTTTTTGACAAGTGCATTTTCTTTTAAACAGCAGAGTAGATGAATCCCAGGGTGCCTGTTTGTAATTGCTTCTAGCATTACATGCAGTGTCCTCTGTGTCTGATTTGTTAGTTTGCATTTAGGTTCTGGTGTTTGCCTGGCACTGGTTAGTATTCTAGCTTGGTTGCTGTGGTGAAGTTCAGTGTAAGAAGTTTCTGCACTGAAGTGGTAATAGTATTAGAGAGGCAATGTGTGGCATTGCCTTTGTGCTTCAGCATGGGTGGAGGAGTGGAAGGCTCTATCATGGAGCAGAACTGCATTTGCAACCACCACTTTCTATTACCTCTCTGGGAAGAGTTTTAAAATTCCAGTTTGGATTTAAAGAGTGAACAGGCATCTGCACATAGATGTTATTATTCCCTTCAGGCTCATTTTTCCTCCTGCTAGTGTGGGATGGATGAGATCAGCATGGACTCAAGCCACTAATCTAAGATAAGTAATATAATAAATTTTGTAGTTGGAGCTGCTCATGATTGACACGCAAGGCAGGGAGAAATCATGTTGTGTGTTTCCCAGGAGAAATGTACAGGAGATGACTTAAAAAAGGAACCACGTAGTGTTGATTACAGTTTGCATATGAAGCTCAGCAGAGTAGCTGTGTCTGTTGAGTAAGGGAAGTTACTGTAGTAATCTTGGCCCACGCTCCACAGATGGTCTGTGAGTCACAAGTTCACATGAGCAGACATCTGTGCAATAGAACTCACCAGTCAGATAAGAGAACCTTCATGTTTTGTCTGCTGTTCAAAGCAAGAAGTCTACCAGCAACCAAACCCTGAGATTCCAGTTACAGTCACACTGAGTTTCCAATCCCATCAACAACTAAATAACTTCTTCAAGCACAGTCAGCCCATTCTGGAAGAGTCAAGTGGGAAAAAAAAAAAGCTATTTTTTTCCTAGCTGGCTGATTTATCTTCTGACTCCATATCTGACCCTCCAGCAACTGTGACTGTGTTTATTTCACTGGCAACACTTTTTTTCTTTGAGAACTTGGGGCAGAACATTTCTCATCAGCTCTTGAGCCTTTGAATTTCACCGGGTTCCTCACATCAGGTTATGCTTTTTTTTTCTGGAAACTGTTGCATTTTGAGAACAACACCTGGTAACACTGCCAAAGCCTTACCTGGCACACCTCCAATGAACACTGGCTCCTTGTGGTCAACTGCCTTTGGGTTTAGTGGCCCCACCACATGGTTGACTTCAGAGTCCACATCCAGCTGCACCACGTTAGCATCTCGAATAACTGGAAGGAGAAGGAGCAAGGATCAAAAAGGTTGTAAAAAGTAGCAGGTGTTTTTTTCTCTGACAGACAGAATTTGATCTGAGGAGCTGGAGTCAGTGTCTGCTCCAGGGGTGTGAGCCACCCATGTGTGTGCACACGTTGGCACAGAGCAGGGCCAGTGCCAGATGCAGCTGGGAGCAGGGTGCTGTGCTTGGAGCTTCTGGCTGGTGGCAGCTGTGTCTGGGCTCAGGGTCTGAGCACACACTGGCACGTGGCTTGGTGAGACTGTGTCACAGAGCACAGAGTGGTGGGGTGAGCTCTGGAGATCACCCAGTCCAACCCCTGCCAGAGCAGGATCCCCTAGAGCAGATCCCACAGGAACACAGCCAGGTGGGGCTGGAATGTCTACAGGGATGCTAACTCATTCCCAGCAGGGACATGCTGGGATGCAGTGAGGTTTCCTCCCTGCTTATGTCCCTGGGTTTACTTCAAAAGGAAAGCAGAACACATGGGGAAAGGGTGCACACTCAGATCTCCTCTGGATGTGACACTGGGAGACATCCCAAGTGAGCAGCTAGACAGGAAGAAGAGGGAGCTCAAAGTACCTGAGGTTTGGAAGTACCTTCTGACTTTCTGTCCTGTTATTTGACCTCTAAGGGCAGCACATACTTGTGCCTGCTGCCTTCCACCAACTTACTGACCCTCCAGTTGGGAGAAGAATATGATGTGGTGTAGGGCTGAGGAGGGATTGCCAGCATTTCATCTAGGCTGTGTTCTTTGAACATAGAACTGCCAGCCATGGTTGTTCTTCACAACAACTTGTTCCCATCCTCCCAGCAAGCTCTACAGCTCCTGAACCTGAGGGACAGACTTGACTGTTTCTTTCACACAGACTTCCACCCTGGCAGGTGAAAGGGAAGAATGGAAAATACAAGCCCATTCCCAGTGCACCGACCCATGGAGATGGATATCTGGGGAGGGGGAACTGGGTCACCTTCTTGAAGGGGATGCTGCTGTTTTACTGACCTGCAATTCGGTGCCACCTGCCATCGCAGAGACTCTGTTTCAGTGTCACTGAAGTTGAAAACTCCCTGATTCCATTATGGAGTTTCACAGTAACCTGGAGGAAAAGAACAAAGTCATCAGTGCCAGCCCCATCCTGGGCTGTGTTCCTTCTGCTGTAATAATGCTGCATTCACCACTCAAAACATGTCTAGTGTGGAAGTGAAAGAAAAACATTCTTTAATTACATTCTTTAAAATAAAGCACCTTTCTCATTCACACCTATATTTGTTTATTTTTTTAGATTCAATAGTTCTGCAACATTTCTGGTTTGAGCTCAAGAAGGAGTTAGAAAAATATTAAAGAATAACAATGAATTTCACTTCAATTTTCTAGTACTGCTGCCCTGTGTGACAGATTAGTGCTCAGAGGCATCAGATGATGTCTTGGCATGTTGCTGGCCTCTGAATGAGGAAAACAGTGGTGAACAGCCCAAGCATGAACAGCCAAGAATTGAGAAAGGAACAGATGAGAAACCTCAGAATAACTTTTATTTGTTCAGGCTTACCAGGAAATTTCTGGCACAGCCAGGAAGGGAACCTTGTTCTGAATTTTGCATGTCTACTGTAGGGATGTGTATTATTGTTGCTCTGCAGGGAAGTGGCACAGCAGTAGCCCCTGTTGTGGGGCACAGAATTCCCAGTGGGGATTGCCAGAGAACTGCAGACATGGAGCCAAATAAATCCCTCTGGCTTTTCAAATGTCTGTGCTGTCCCTGGCAATGGTCACACCTTGCCTGCTGAAAATGTTGCATGGGAACAACTTATATTTCAGCTGAGGGGATCTCTGGTTCAGTATAGTTGTAGTTAAGAAATCTTTGAACATTTTTTCCACAGGGGTACCAGCAAACATCAGTGCAATGATCCTCATGTTCTCTTTCATCTACACATGGACAAAAGACAGAGGAGTGAATAAATCAAATGCAGGATCATGAAATAAAGTGGCTCCTTAGTGAATCCCACAGACAGGCTGCACTGATGGAGAGAGGTGTGTGTACGTTTAAGAAATGAATTAAAGGTGATGGTTGTTCTAGTTTGTCCAGCAAAAATGTTTTCACAGAACAGGCCTTTGGTATCACAGCCAAGGAGAGAAGAGAGTGGCAAAGCCACAGGTGCTCACTGGGACAGTGTAACTGTCATGCTTGTTGCAGTGACAAGCAGGGAAGAGCTGCTTTTCCAGGGGGATTGTGTTTATGAATTGCATGTGCAGGAAGTGATCTCTAAGGTGTGTGGTGTGAAGGGACCCACATTTCAGTACTGAATGTAATAAAACAAACAGCAACAGCAACAACTATCTGGTAGGTGCAGTTCATTGACAAAAATCCAGAGACCCTAGGAACCAGAGCAACAGATAATCAGAACTTTCCCTCACCCTGCCCATCACACACGTGTGTGTTAAAGCAAGAATAGACCCAGCACAACTCAGGCTTCTCCTTTAATGAACCAGAAATAAAAATTCATCAACAATTACCTTATTTGTGCTGTTACATGTTTTTCATGTGTGGATGGAAAAAGAGTCAGTGCTTTTGCTTCTTTTCCACTGCTCATGAAATATTTACAGTTGGTATCAGGAAAGTGATCTGATTTTGCTTCAGGTGCTACTTTTTACATTTTAAAGGGAGTATCTAGGTTGCCTGATCTAAGCAGCTGGAATGTGTTGGAGAGGAATACCAGGCAACTCATGGTGAATTTGCAAGAGGAAAGCTGCAGGTAGCAGAGCCCAAGCAGGTAGGAGAGGAGCCAGTGAGGGCAGGGGAGCTCCCATTCTACCTGTCCATCTCTCATGTGCATGTTCAGGTACTCCCCATTCACACTGTGGCCGTGCAGCAAAATCCCGGAGCTGCTTCGGGGACGGAGCTCAAAAACGACCTCAAATTTCAAGCCTAGGCTGAAGGATTCATCTGGGGGGGGAAAAGAAAACAACATTATTTTTGTCCTGAGTTAGGGATGAAATTGGACGCCTGCTCGAAGTCAAATGGGAGATTGAAAGCCCCAGGGTGGAACTTGCTTGTTCTGTCCTTAAACAGCTGGAGGCTGTGCCAGTGCACACAGGTGAGGAGGTGCTGTGTTGTGCTGCCAAGGACCCTTCCCAGCTCTTGTTTTGATTATGTCTGCTGGAAGTACTGATTGAGGATTCTTTATTTTACTGATTATTTATTTTTAAAGTATTTTGTTAAAACAAATTTTCTCAGCAATGCGACGAGCAGCAGAAGGTACATGATCTGTATTTCTTTGGCAGTTTCTTCTTGTGCAATTTGCTAGATACTCAGCAGCCTTTGCACAGGGAGTGGGAGTTCACCTGAGCTTTGAGGGCTCAGCAGAAGAAACCCCCTTTTTCAATCTGGTGTCAGGCCTGCAAGCAAGTGACAGACCTTGCCTGACTCTTCCTGGTGTTGCCAATGAACAGGGCTGTGTCATTTCTTTTCCTGTTCAGATCAGAGCCTATGTGACCAAAACCCCTTCCTGAAACCCTTCCTGGAGCACAGCAGGCTGAGTGACAGGAAAGATGTGTTCAGTCATGCTGCTCAGACATGCAGAAAGCCTCTCCTTAGGATTCTTTAGTGGTTTTATTATTTAAGAGCTAAGGGATGACCATTTACTCACGTGCTTGGTCTTAGCCACATTGACTTCTACATATTTATGATCATTTTTACCACATTATAATCTGCTTCCTAGCAAAATTGGTTTAATTATTTTTAATACTCACATAGGTACAGGCAGCTGTGTTTATGAAACAGCTTCTCCAGTTCCATGGTGGCACAGTGACCTGCCACCTCCAGCTGCTTCCCACAGTAAAGATCTCTACCTGTTAGGGCTCCCAGCCTCAGAAGTTCCCACACCCTTGGGTGAAATATGCCAACCTGAAGCACGGTGAATACTACAGGCTTATTATGGGATGCATTTGCTCAGCAAGGTATTACCAAGGACGACATATCCTCCTTCTGATGAGAAGTATGTTCCTGCTTCGGCTGGGCCTTCAAAGCAAGGTGTGACACTGAACGTCTGGGAGGCTGAGGTGACTGATCTCCCATTGAGCTGTAAATTGCTGAGGCAGCCACTGAAACTGTAGACAGAGTTAATCTGAGGGGGAAAAACAAAGCATGATTAACAGACAAACAGCTTGTGGAAGGAAAGAAACTCTTCCCTCCTTGCTTGTACTTGTTCATGAGCTCTAGGGCTGTGATTGTCTGGTGTGGCAGTGCTGAATTAAAACACTGTTTCCAGAGAAGAGAAGCAGGACTGATGCTTTTCACAGCCTCTCGTGTCTCTCTGATGCCTTCAAGGTAAGTCCAGCTTGTGTTGTTTCTCAGACAGCCCTTACTGAACCCTGAGCCACAAGGTGCAGCTGGAGCCAGGCAGTGTGACACACACCTCGCACCCTCCAGGCAGGGCAGGGCTCTGCTGCTTCTGAGCAGCACATCTGCCTTGTTAGGCACCTGACACTGAAGGTTATTTTGAAGGAGCCTTGGTTATATTCTTTTTTGCTTTAACACTCCTTTCCACGTACTTCAGTACCAAGATGTAGAGCAGAATCCTGACTTACAACAGGGCTACTAAAGAACGCTGAGATCCCTCTGAAGCTCCTCTGTACCCCAGACCTTTGGGTGCAACTGACCTCACCTCCCTTCACCTGTCTCACCTAAGCTTGGGGGTCACCAGGATTCCTCTGTTCCTCAGACACCACTGGCTTTGCAGTTGCTGCTGCAAGTCTGTGGAAGCCTCGTCCAGCTGCAGCCAGCCCAGCCCTGCAGGACCAGGACTCCAGCCACAACACACCTCACCCCTGCACTCAGTTTGTACAACAACAGCTGTGGGATGATGGAATGGCTGTCTGCTTTACCTGGATATTTTTTACAGCTTTTCCTGGAGCAACACCCCCAATGTAGAGTGGTTTGGTGACTTGCCAAGGACTGGCATTACCACCAAAAGGTTCTTCCAGTACTCGGAGACCATCGATGATCAACCGACCAATATTCCTGCCTCTCATAAATATCACCTAGAATGGGAGAAAAAAAGAATTGGAAGATTACTTTAAGCTGTTGAGGGAACATTCCTGTGCAGTGGAAGAAGATAAGAAGTTTGAGAAGAAAAGCTTGTGAGTGATACTCTGCAATCCTGTTGGATTAACTGCCAACATTCTTTGCTGGACAATGCTGTGTTTTGCATTCCTGTAGAGCTTAGGTAGTAAAACTGATGTCTTTTTGACATTTTGGTGCACAAGGCAGAGGCAATCCAGGTGTCCCAAGGTCTACTGAGATCTGCCCATCTTATGTGTGCAGATGTGATTCATTGCTACAGGGCTATCACTGTGAGCATTTGCATGGTCTGCACCAGTTTTCTGGTCAGGATTCATCCAGTCTATTTTAAACAATGACATGCCCACATTAGGAGCTTAGTAACTGTAGAGTTCCTCTGTGGTCAGTGGTGAGAGAGGGAAATTCAGAGGGAAATTCACCTTGATCCATAAAATTGTCTTTTTATTTTCATATCCTACAGAGGGCTCCTCAGACAGCTGTGCTCCTTGCTTAAGCACAAAATGACCCAAGCCCTTCCTTTCCTAGCTAAGTTACCTCTGAACTGCCTCACTGGTCTACTTGTTTCTGTCCCCTCTGTTGAGCTGTTAGTGTTGGGAATTGCTGGGGTTTTATAGCTGCTTCCCTCTCCTGTCCCTAGTGAATGACTTGATAAAATATAACATTGAAGATGTTAAAATATTGGCAGAAGTTTCTCAAGGTGTGAGCACAGGAATGAGAACTCCCTGAGCTGTCACATCAGCAGGGACTTGCTGGCGTGTGCCCCTCTAATGCTTCCTTTCTTTTACTTACGTTGTGCCAGAGGCCATCATTGTATTTCTCTTGGCTCTTAATCCTTATCTTCTGATGCCCAGCATTGAACATGAAGATGAGCCTCCCGTGGGCAACAAAAAGGGCCATGAAGTTGGTCTCTTGTTGATCCGAGACGTAGAAAATCATTCCATGAGATGAGTGGGTTTTCAGACTGATGGAGAACTGAGCTCTGGCACATGAAAACACAGTATTAAAGTTAGAGCAGATATAATTGACTTAAAGCAAACTGTAGGCAGAGGAAGACAGGTTTTCCTTCCATCCAATGGAATATCTATCTCCTTTATGGAACTGCTGTTTTGAGAAACATTCCTTGCTGGGTTTTTTTGGAGTAGAAGTCAGAGCTGCACAAGAAGCTGCCTTGCAAGGAATTTGTTGTCAAAACCAAATTCTCTAGAGCTAACAAAATCAGTGCAGGCCACCAATAACACTATGCACTCTAAAGTTCCATTCCTGTTGAACATCAGTTCTGGGAGGCTTTTAAACCACAATGGCATGGAGGCCTGAAAGGTCACAAACCTTTAATGTCTTCCAGACTCACTGCCAAGCTTTTCCTTCCTTGTAGTTCCTTGTAAAGTCCTGTGGCAAGCTCTGCCAACTTGGTTTGACACTGAACAGTGAAGATGCTAACAACAAGTTCTGTACAAAAAATTGCTGAAGATATGAAGAAAAAGCCAAAGTAACAGCAGAACAGGGCCTTTTAAAAAATGGAAATATGTCTGCCTCCTCCCCAGTGAATTCAGTTTTTATTTCTAGGGTCCCTTTACCTTTCACCAAAGTCCTTTGGGATGTGATCAAATTCCTGGCGGCTGTTTGCTGTTCCTCCAAACTGGAATGCATCTCTGGTTGCCTTGGGATTCACAGGCAAGTGGCACTGAGGGTCTCTTTGCATGTTCACCTCTTGATGCAGCTTTTTGAGGCCCCCTGAAGGCTGTGAGATCTTGTCTTTATCCCTTCCCACCTTTGCAGAAAGAGAAACATCAACCAGAAATGTTAACGCTGGTTGGACGTAACAAAATAACACTGATATCTAAGCAGGTGATGTGTTGTTTCCTTACAGGACAAACAAGAATGGTTCCCAGTCAGATTTTCCATGAGCAGGTCTAGTACAGGTGCTGGTTTAGGGCAAAAGAAGGGTTAACCAGAACACTGGTGTAACTAACATCATTGCAACTCAATTCTTTTGCAGGTTTCCTAATGGCACCTTCCCCTTCCTGCCTTTGCTGACACCAGCTCTACTGCAGGCAGGAGGGGACATGGGGGGACTGAAGGCTCTGGGTGCTGCAAGAGGGATTTTGTCACACTGGTGTGAGTGCATGCTGACTGTGCCCAGTGGGAAGAGCCACACAGAAGCAGCTGAGAATAGAAGCTTATTCCTTCAGGACACAGGGGAAGTCAAAAAGGCTTTTTTTCTAAAGTACTTCTGTGCATATGTGATGAATTTTATTTGACAGCTCTAGGAAGAGAGAGTGGTGCAAGTGTAGGGCAGATGGAGGGGTCAGGGCAGTCATTTGCAGTGGTGGGATATGCAAAGGAGCAGGGTCCTTTCTTTCCTGCATCTGAAAAATTCCTCATGTGGTGCATCTTGGGCCCATGATCTGGAGAATCCCCAGAGGTGACACAGGATGTATCAACTCTGGAAAATTCTAGGTGGTACTGGAGGAATTTGTAGCAAACCTTTTTATTACGGTTCCCTTTGGCTTTTGATGAGTTTTTTCCTTTCTTGTGGAGAAGAGCAACTGGAGGAGATTCAACAGGGCATCCATACAAAGCAGCCTGAACTTTCTCAGGGTACTGCTGGAAATCTTCCACTTCAACCTCTCGGTCCAACCTGTGTTTCACATGGGGGGGTGACAAGAACAGCTTTCTTTGCAAGTGTTGGGATTGTCATCATAAAAATCACAGAATGTTACATTTATAGTTCAAGTGGTGTTTAAATGCTGGGTGTTTTTTCATTCCTGGCTCATGGGTAAGGGTCCAGGTTGACCAGTCAATGTTAGAGTAATGCAGCCTGTACTACCCCACCCTCTTGTATCCATGATTGCAGAAACAATCTCAACCTGCAGCACCAAATTCACTTCAGAATCTTCCATATAAGAGCATTTTGTAAAGCGAATAAGATCAACAAATTCTGGCCATTTTCACAAGATCAAACTCCTAACTTCCCCAGCTCCTGTGAGATGCCTTAATATAATTTTGTTTCAAAGGCAGAGCTGAAAGCTGCATCATCTCAATGTAAATCACAGCTGTGCACATTGCATGTTGCACCAGCAGGTGTGGGACCGAAAGCTGATTTACAGCCAGTCATTCCTTTAACAATTCCTTTAACTTTTACAACATCTTAACCTAGCAGGGCTGTGCCAACAGGTCCCATGGCAAATGAGCTGAAAAGCTTCTTCACATGTCATGTCCAGCCTTGCAGAATGAGAGAGGGAATTTGATTCTGACAGTAAACCAGTTCTCTTCAGCTCTTATCTGAGCTGCCAGGCAGGGACTGCTTGGTGGTGGGTTTGGGAGGAAGCTGCTCACCTGGTGAAGTAAGCATTGCTTATGCAGCCCGTGAAGTTGGCTTGCTGGGTTCTGAGGGGAGAGCCACCAAAATAAAACTTCTTGCCACCCTCTGGGCTTTTTCCTGCTCTGTCCTTTGCTGGGTTCTTCTTGCTTTGTTTCTTGTCGTCAACACTCAGCTCGTATCTGCAAAGGCAAAGCACCCACTTTGTAGGCAGGTTTTGGAGCAGCCAGTGCAGGTGGTTAGACAGCCCTGTACATGCACCCAGGCTGCTCCAAGCCATGTGCACATCACTGAGTCACAGAATTATTGAGGCTGGAAAAGACCTCTGAGATCCTCAAGGCCAGCCCGTGACCAACACCCCCACATCTCCAGACCAGGGCACTCAGTGCCACCTCCAGCCTTTCCTTGAGCACCTCCAGGGATGGTGCCTCCACCACGTCCCTGGGCAGCCCATCCCAAGGTCTGATCACCCTCTCCATGAGGAAGTGCTTCCTGATATCCAACCTAAACCTCCCCTGGAGCAGCTTCAGGCCAGGCCCTCATGTCCTGACACCTGGGAGAAGAGCTCAACCCCACCTGCCCACGACCTCCCTTCAGGGAGTTGAAGAGAGTGAGAAGGTTCCCCTGTTAGTGCTCCAGGTGAGGAGAAGCCCTTCCCACTCCCAGCTGTGCAGCAGGTAGCAGTGCCATTACCCCCCTGGCAAAGTGGAGTCCAGAGGCCCATGGATTTTATAACACCCTGGGGTTAATTGTGGAGTCCAAAATAAACTGAGTCCACCCAGTGAAGGTAGATAAGTTAAGGGATTGGCAGTGAGTAGATGGAGCCACCATTTAGGTACAGCAAGATCTAAACACGTGCTGATCCTTCTCCTTTATGCCCCCATCAATTTTTCCTTCTCTTTCATCACAGTACATTAATTTTTAAGTTCATACAATGCTTTAAGTTTACACAGTGTTTTTTACCTAATCTCATTCTGCATCACATTAGTTGCTGCAGAAGTCAGGAAGGATCCTGCTGCTTTAATAAGACACTGAGCATAATGAGAACATGAGACATTGGTTTGGCAAGTTCAGAATTCAGAGCACTCAGGGAAGCATCACAATCCCCAACGCTCTCCCAGAGGCACCTTTTTGCACCCTCAGCTTTTCAAACTGTGTTGCTGGAATGTTGGAAGTCATGGGTACAAACCTCAGCTTCTCTTAGAAAATCAAGAGTAACCTGGTTGTGTCTGCATGGGCAGGGCTTTTGAAGAAAGACTCTTTGGTTATTTGATCTTCTGAAGAAATTTTAAACATAAAAAGCAACTGTAAAACCTGCCAATAAAGCAATGCTTTCAAGGTTCTAAAGAAGCAGACAGAGCCTTATTCCCTACTGCTCTATTTATTCTTACATTTCTGTCTGTCAGTGCTAAAAATATTTTCACCATGTTCTCCTGAGTATGGCTCAAGTGAATCCTTCCTGTGGAGGTGCCCAAAGCTTCAGGGTCAATTTGGGATTGCTCTAACAAATCAGAAAATTCAGTCCTGCTGAAAAATTAGTCTCATGCTTATCTTAAATCATATTAAACTACTTCCATATCTGAGGACAAAAGAGGGACTCAGCTTTTAGAAAAACTCTTATTTTAGTTCTACTAAAAATCCCCAGCATCTTGTGCTCAGGCCAGACTGGCCAGTTCTCAGTCAGTGATTTTTGGCTTTGGTTTCTTTTTTTGAACTCAATTGGTGAATTAAAATAATAGCTTAACCCTCCTTCCCTCCCCACCTTAAACATCACTTTGAAAGGGAATCTTACATGCTGATGTGCTTTCCAAGAAATATTGATGTTCCAAAGGTGGGGAACAGGAGAGGCTGGAGAGCTTTACCTTTCTGGGGTGACAGAAGTCATGATGAAGTGGGTTTTCCCATCGTTGTAATTTCGGTCGGGGGATTGAATTTTGGTTCCACTTGCATTTAAAACCACAGCACCTCTGTCCATGGAGATGGATAATACATCTGACTGAAAGGCAGACAGAAATATCTTCATAAGCAAGTGGAACACTGAGCAATTAACAGTTCTCTGCATTCTCCTGTTGTCTTTATTTTCCTTCCTGCTGCTTTCCCCATTTGTGCTTTCCTGGCAGAAAGGGATGCTGAGAACCAAACCAGGAGATGCTCTTGTTAGAATTGATATTCTTGCTGGTTTTTTTAAGCCTGAATTCTGGGAATTCTGCTGCTGATTATGTCTCATGTGTCTGTCACATGAGCCCCTTCCCCACCATGGATGTAAGGTGCTTGCATTTCATTTGTGTTCCTGCAGCCCTTGGTGCTGCAGGATTTCTGCTGTCATAAAACCAAGGCATTTTTTCTTCTCCTAATTCCCTCTGATCAGACCCACTCAATCACTCAAAATTATCTCATCGAATAAGGTCTGCTATCAGGGTCAGACATGTAGGATCACAGGGCCAGAAAGCAGGAATATTTTCTGTTCTATTTGAGCAAGTTCTGCCACTGTGCATTGAGAAAAGTGTGCCCAGCAGGTCAGGGAGGTTCTCCTGCCCCTCTGCTCTGCCCTGGGGAGGCCTCCCCTGCAGCCCTGGGGGCAGGTCTGGGCTCCCCAGTTCCAGAAGGACAAGAACTACTGGGGAGAGCCCAGCACAGGGCACTGAGATGCTGCAGGGGCTGGAGCATCTGCCTGTGAGGAAAGGCTGGGAGAGCTGGGGCTGTTCAGCTGGAGAAAAGGAGGCTGAGGGGGGATCTGCTCAGTGCTGATCAATATCTGCAGGGGGTGTCAGGAGGATGGGCCAGACTGTGCTCAGGGGTGTCCAGGGACAGGACAAGGGGCAATGGGCACCAACTGGAGCCCAGGAGGTTGAAGCTGGAGATGAGGAAACCCTTCTTGCCTGTGAGGGTCCCAGAGCCCTGGGCCAGGCTGCCCAGGGAGGCTGTGGAGTCTTCATCCCTGCAGACATTCCAGCCCCACCTGGCTGTGTTCCTGTGGGATCTGCTCTAGGGGATCCTGCTCTGGCAGGGGTTGGACTGGGTGATCTCCAGAGCTCCCTGCCAACCCCACCACTCTGGGAGTCTGTGATTCATCCTGTCTCAATCAAAGTCCTAAAAAGCTGAGCCTCCATTTGTGAAGTAGAGCACTTGGCACCTCACAGGATTACAGCTTTTAAGTTAAGACCAGAAGTGGTGTTTTTAAGGCCTCATTTATGCCAAAGATGTGGATAACTGACATGGTTCCTGGCTTCAGTTTAGGGTACCATTGCAGGCTGTAAAATGTAGAAGCTCAGGGATGGTACTTGGTGTCAGGCAGCCTTCCTGTCAGTCTGAGCTGGCAGGATCTGGGAAGCAGTTCTCTGGCTCACACATTTTGGGAGTGCAAGTCCTTCTTTCTGCCCATGTCACACCTCTGGGGAGGCATTTAGGGCAGCCTGGCTTCCCAGAGCTGCAAGGGGCCATTCTCAAGTGCAGGTTTTCACAGTCACACGTGGGTGTCTGGGGGCCAGCTGGGAAGGGAAGCAGCTTTCTGACTTCTGAGCAATGCTCAAAATACCACTAGTTCCAACAAACTTTGTCTTTCCTTCTAGGGGATTGAGCCTAGGTGGAAAACATGAGGCTCTTAGTATTCTTTGTGCTTTGGTAGCACCTACAGATCCAAACAGGGATTGCAGCGCTGCTGAGCTGAACAAGATCCACTTTGTATTTTTGCCCCGAGGACTTCATTGAGCACAAATGGATGCATGTTAATTCTGGGCAGAAGATCAAATCCTCTCAACACCAGAATGTCTGAGCATTGCTGGTTTTCATCTGTAGATTAAGTGTGATCTGTGAAAATGAGACCATCAATGGCTCTTTCTGTACTGTGAGCTGCTTTCTCTGTTAGGAAAAGATGACGTGAGAAATTGTATTATTCCCCCAGTGTTCTGGGAAACAATCCAAAGCTAGAATTAAACAAACTGTAAAGAAATGCATACTCACTCCTTCTGAATAGTAGAAGAGCAGCCCGTTGGGTTGCAGTGTCCGGAAATTAAAGCCTCCTTCAAATTCACCCAAGAGAGACACTTTCTGGCTGGATGCAATGAAGCTCTCTCCATTGAAATAGGCTTTGCGGGATATCTGGGTGTGACACCAAACAAAGGCACAAGGAAATGGCAGGAAACATTCCAATCATAGAAAGAACAGGGCTTTTTAAAAAGATACAGCCAGATTGATTCTATAAAAACTTCCATTTCTCCTGCCTGTCTCCACCTAATTCATAAAGGCTTTCCATTTCAGACAGTGTGAGACAAGTTGTTCTCAGTTCCCTGGGATTCTTGGTCTCATCCTAAGTCTGCAGATGTTGGTGGGCATGAAGACTAGAAGCAGAGGGGGCTCAGGCCCCTGCCTGACCTGTCTGACACTGAGTCACCATCCCAGCAGGTGGCACATTCAATGGGATGCAGGGATGGGAGGTGTTGGACACGGTGGTCTGCAGCCCTTGGGGTCTCAGGAATTAAGCTAGGTCTGAGGTGGGACAAACTGCTGCCAGCTTCCTTGTGGGCAGGCAGTGAGGTTGCATGTGAGCTCTGCAAGTGGTGGGCTCCTCCATCCTGACAGGCCTGTGAGCGTGGCTTTGGGTGGACAAGGCTGTGTGAGAAGGACCACAAACACCTGGAGGTGTCCCAGCCTTGCAGGGTAATAGAGAAACGGTGAGTGATGGAAGGGATCAGACTCCAAATGGCAACTTTCTTAGTGCTAATGCCACTGCAGTTGGTTTGTGTGTCACAGGGGAAGAGCTGACCTGACTGAAGGGGAGAACTAAAGTGAAGGGTGAAGGTCTCTCATGTCATACATCTGCATTAGCATACATGCAAGGGCAATTATCCTTGGTTTTTTTAAGGAAAAAATACTTATGCTGGAATATTTCCTTTCAGAATGCAGCACACAAGGCATTTCAGATCCAGCTTTCACACAACATTCTCCCACGTGATAAGAATATCAAGTGGAACACCTGGTGCTGCAGGTCAGGGTGAAAATGGGGCAGTATGTCAGCAAATTTCACAGCCTGACACCCCAGCCCTGCCTGTCACTGCCTGCACTGTCATCCCTTGCTTCAAGGCTTCTCTTGGCTGTTTGGAGCAAAACCCAAGCTCCCAGCTGAACCCACTGCCAAAGCTTTATTGTTCTCTCACAAATGATGCTGTGCTTACCAGTGAATCCTCTGGGCACCCATAGCTGATTCCCAGGGTTCCTGGTTCTTCTAACAAGTTGAAGTCCTTCTTTTGGAACTGGAAACCCTTCATGCAGCCTTTAAAGCCAATGGTTCCTGCCAGCTGTGAACTAATGCTGCTGGAAAACAAAGACAAGCTGTGGTTAGAGGGCCCTTGCCTTTCTGAATAGGCTTTTATCACCAAGGTGTTCTAAAAAAAAACCTGGAAGAACCTCAAGGATTTGCCTCACTAGTGCCCAATTCCTGCATCTTTTTGTTAAAGGCTAATGAACCACATTATGTGTTTTGAAAAGCCAAGATGCATCAGATGTGACAAATGTTACAGAAGGGAAGAGAGGAGGGTTCAGAGAGGAGGCCTATATAGAACAACTGATGATATCAAAAGTCTTATTTTTAAATGGTTTTCTACCCACGTACAGTGAAAAGAAATAGATTTCTATTTCCATTTTTGATAGTTTTAAAAAGTGCTGGTTTATTTCTCCTGTCTTGCTTTTCCTAGCAAACTCTCTTCTTGTCCTAGGAAGCAAAAGGTTCTTCATTTCTTAAGAGGCAACAGCACCAGAGGTCAAGGCAGTGAGAGTAAACTCTGCTTGCTGATCAGGGGCTTTACATAGTTGTGCCTGAGAGCAGTAGGTGGGCTTCCAGGGTCCTGTCTGTGCCAGGTTTGAGGTGGAGAGCAGAGCAGGGCACCCCACTTGTGCCTCCTCCTTGTGCTCTCTACAGGATGGCCCTGAGCACTGGGACTCTTCTCACTTCCCTGCTTTATGCAGAGACTGAGTTGGGAGGGAAATGACCTATAATGGTACTTCCAGGTGAATTCCTTTGGGAACAATGACAATTGACAGAGGGAAGGGCTGTTGGAATGAATGCAAATATACTGCTCTGAGTGAATATGAAACTCCTCCTCTAAGAGCTGAGCCAGCTTTCCCTGCTGTCAGTCAGATGTCAATCACCCAAGAAAAAGAACCATAAATATCAGTAGTAGATATTCCTACTAGGAGATGGGGAGTAGTAGATCACCAGTAGATATAATGGTAATCTTTCAATTTATGCCTACTTTTTGTTGTCTGCCATGGGCACCAAAGCTGGGAGCAATGTCCAGGGCAAAGGTGTCCTGCTTAAATCATTTCAGTTTACATTTTTCAGTATGATAATGGATACTATTTTCACAGTGCATATGGGTTATTTGCTGATGTGACTTGCTCCTTGAGATGCTGTGTGACAGTCCCCTCCAGGTGTGGTGCAGAATGGCCACCACTGACTCAGAAAGCTGCAGGAATCATCCATGGGATTCATCTTCTAGCCCATTTTTGGGAACAAGTTTTGTCTGCCATTGAGTTGCTCAGTTGCCCAGATCTCTAGGTCCTTCTGGGATTTTCCAGTGTTCTCTAGGCTTGATTAACCAAAGGAATTTTCACCATCCTTTGTTCTTTGTTTCTAGATCATTAATGTATTTAATACCAGCTCTAAGAGAGTTCCCCTGGGCATGTGCTGTAGACTTGTTATACCATGGAAGTTGAGGAGTTACTCTGTGGCCTGTTTTCTCTTCCCCAGCAGCTCTTGAATCCCCTGCAGCCTTTATCCCTCTTCCACTCCACTGGTTTTCTTAATAGCCCCTTATGACAGACCTTTGTAAAGAACCATTTGAAAGGCCAGATAAATGATATACTCTGATATACTCTGGTTCTCCCTCCTTCTTTTTGTGTTTGTGTGCTCAGGTAATTACCTGGGATTGAAAGGCATCATTTTCTTTTACCAGAAGTTTGTCCCAATCTTAAAAGCTTTGACTGTAAGTGCTTTGTATCTCAGACATTATTTATTGATTCAACAGGCTCTCCTGACAACAAAATCAGGTTTCAGGAGCTTTACCAGTAATTCCTAGAAGCTATTGTGCAACATTATTTGCTATCTTTTTTTTTTTCTTCTTTTTTTACACAGAGGGTGTTTAAAGAGCTGGTATTTCCTTTAGCAGCTGTGACACTTAGAACAGCAGCTGGAGCCCTTCTGAAAATGCTGTCTGAGCCTGGGGATGAGTATTGCCTGTCAGAAGAGCAGACCCTTCTTGGGGCAGCCAGGCTGCTGTCCCAGAGAGGGACCCTGCCCCAGCAGATTCCCAGGGCAGGAACTGGGGATTGTACCATCTGCTGAGGATCAACTTGGCTTCTTTCAAATGGCACCATGAGAAAATGAGAAGTTTTCTTTTCTTCCCACCCTCACACAGAGCCAGCTGAGCTGGAGAACCTGAGATGGATCAGAACTGTAGAAGGAAAAATACCATCTCTAGGTTTGAAACTGCAGTTGGTCCTTTAGCCACGGCCCTGCTGCTCCACAAAGATCACTTCTGGCAGGGCAGCTGTTCTTTGAAAATTACTTTTTGCTTCAAGAAGAAAACTGCTTCAGTTCCCCTGGCTGAAATTAGGCCAGTTGCAGCAGAATTTACCTGTGCTGAACCAAGCCTAATCCTTGGGACTTCAGAGCTCTGAGAGGCACTTAAAAGAGTGTCTGAGGGGTTGTTTTACAAAAGGTGTTGAGGCTGGGAAAAATATTTTCATGCAAGCCCTTCAGCACAGGTCATAAAACACCACTTAACTATGGGCAGTACTTGAAGATAATGACTGAATCCCAGTTGTAAACCCACCTGGAGTGCAAGACCTCAGCAGTAACTCCTCCAATGTAGATGTCTGTGAATGGCATGGCTGTCCTCTCATTGTCCACACTTTTTATATGTCTCCTGTCAACTACCAAGATCATCTTCTTAGAGTTGTGATAGATAATAGAAATCTGGAAAGAAAAGCATGTGCTTAAAATGGTTCAAAAGATCATATTTTGTAAGCTGTTGTGGGGATTTTGCAAATCAGGTTGCATCTTTATCTCTTTGTTTGAAAAGTTCCTCCCATTTATCAAAAATGTTGTCTATAAATTGGGAGAGGCTGACAGCAATTGTTGTAGGGACCTTGTTTTGATGTCACAACTTCTCTGATGACTAAAAACCCAGGATATTTCAGTTATTAACAAATCCACGTGGGAATATTCCAGGTCAAATTCTAAGCTACAGCAACAGATCAGCTCCCTTAGCTTCAGAGTGATCTCTTGATTCACCCAACAAGTTAGGGCTTCTTAAAAAACCTTTTCATTGTCAAAACATCAAAAGCTTCATTGTGCTCCTCTTAAACAGGGGTATAATTTCTTTTGGATTAATTACACTTTTTCTTCCAGGTGAAGTGTCCTTGGCCAGTAATATGCAGAACCAGAGATTCACAGAATGTCTGGGGTTGGAAAGGACCTTCAGGGGTCATCTAGTCCAGCCTCCCTGCAGTGCACAGGGACCTTTGTGACCAGATCAGGTTGCTCAGAGCCCCATCAACCCTGACCTTGAATGTCTCCAGGGATGGGGCCTCCACCACCTCTCTGGGCAACTGTTCCAATGGTAAAGAACAACTTCATAATGTCTGATCTTAAATCTACCCTGCTCTAGTTTAAGGCCATTCCCCCTTGTCCTCTCCCTCCCTGCCCTTGTCCCAAGTCCCTCCCCAGCTTTCCTGGAGCCCCTTCAGGCACTGGAAGCTGCTCTAAGGTCTCCCTGGAGCCTCCTCTTCTCCAGGCTGAACATCCCAACTCTCCCAGCCTGTCTCCAGCCCTTGGATCATCTTTGTGCTCTCCTCTGGACCCTCTCCTACAGCTTTATGTCCTTCTTGTGCTGGGGGCTCCAGACACAGTTCTCCAGGTGGGGAGCAGAGCAGAGGGGCAGAATCTTCTCCCTGGCCCTGCTGCCCACGCTGCTTTTGGTGCAGCCCGGGATGTGATTGTGTCCACAGGAACGTGTCCACAAGCACTGATCTCCCAGGAGGCAGGGAGAGCCTGCCCCTTCCAGCAGACAGGGGTGGTGGGACTTGCAGAAGCCCTTCCCCATGCAGGGCAGGCATGCACTGCACCCCTCTGCCTGCTGTGCCTCATCACCACCTGCCCTTGGACCTTTCTGCTCCTTTTGATGGTGTTGGAGCCAATTATTGCTGCTTTGGAGCTGCTGGTCAAGTGGCTGTGCTTGCAACCTGCTTGTAACATCTCTACCTCATGAAATCTGGCATCATTAATCTGAGCCTTCCTCATGGAGTCCTGGAGCAGCACGGGGCCAGAGCTGAAGCCAAAGTCGTAGCGGAGGTGCAGGAACCCGTCGTGCATCTCCAGGCTGAAGAACATGCTCTGTGTGAAACAGAACAGCAGGCAGAAAAGCACTGTGATTGTGGCAGGAATTGGAAAACAATGATAGACAGTCGTATGAGAGGGTCTGACCTTGGGAAAAACATGCTGGGAAATGTTTTGTTGTTTGGTTTTTTATGATTTATTTTTAAAGCTACAACATGGTCTCTGGGTTATTTTTGCATCTATCTTGCATGTGCATGTGGACACAAGCAGACATAATTCTTTGGGAAACAGCACTTACTTGAAGACTTCACAGAATCACAGAGTCACTTAGGTTGGAAAAGATCATCAGGTTCATGGAGTCCAACCATTAACCCTACTCTAGCAAGCTTGGTGACCTGTTTCCCTGTAAGAACAGTATTTGGTGGCACAGTGATGTCAGTGTTGGTTCCCAGCAAAATATTCCTG